AATATATTAAACCTGCGATGATTTTAAAAACTAGGAGTTGACGGCCATAAAGGGCAGTGGCACCACCACCAATCTAAACTAGTAGATCATCCATTTTGTTTCCTCATAGGTTTTTGTGCTTAGTTTTCCCTTCAATTTGGATAGCATTAAGCTAATCCAGAACAGGTCCTAAAATTTTGGAGGTCTTTTTTTATTTTCATCGACTCATTTAAACTTGATCATATGTTGGTCAAACAAGTTGATCTTCTGGGGAACATTTTGTATGTCCGTGTCTGATCTAAATGAGAAAAATAGAGCCTCTAATTCTTTCTTTTCTTACTAACGAGTCTGTCCGACTATTTCTACTCCGATCGAGGAATATGGATCAGGTTCGCTTCTTCAAAATACTCATGTAGTCTCTAGAACCACTCAATTTCCGATGCGAATGCTGGCCAGTCCATCGAGTTCATAGTCATGCCCAATAGATATGACCAGTCTGTCTCGAACCGGATCGAAGTTATCCTCATATCTCTCATGTATGAAACTGTTCAAAGTAAACTTTATATCCTAACATATAAGACTGAGAGGCTTCGGCCGCACACTCATAATCCGAAATACATATTTAACTTTATCTAATTTTATAAAATTATTAATTCTTCTTTACCAAAAACTTGGTTTTCCTTCTCTTTAAAGAAAAATTAAAGAAAAATTTTATTGGCAGAAAAACATATTTTTATTTTTTATTTTTATTATAAAATTTACATATCTGAATTTAAAAACTGTTTGATATTTTATTAATACTCTTAGAAACTGAATTATTTATTTATTAAAAATAAACACTTATGTAATTGTAATTATATATATATATATATTATGATTCTTTAAAAAACTTTGGGGCCCCGCAAAATGGGGTCCATTCAAATGTTTCACCTCTCTTCTCTCAATTCTGGTTCTTCTCTCAGTTCCGGTTCTGAAAGTATCCTTAGAGCAATCCTAGTGAGAATTTAACACCAAAAGTTCTTAAAAAGCAAATATGTAAATATATATATATATATATATATATATATATATATTAGTATTTAATTATCAGTATCTTAACTTTACGGTAAATCCAACCCCAAACATCTTAAGAGATATATTTTAGGTTGTATTCCCGTAAAACTAGGATACTTATAATATATATTGAGAACTTTTGTATGAGAAACTCCAGGGGGAGTTATTCTTGTATCTGTAAAAAAAATCAAATTGTATCTATAAACAATAGACATAATATATATATATATATATATATATATATATATATATATATATATATATATATATATATTATTGGGTTTTTGCTGCATTTTATTTTTTTGGTGTATTGTGTTGCATTTTAGTCCAATTAGTTTTAAAATTAATCATTTACTAGATTTTGATCCGCGCAACCGCGCGGGTGTTAGTTTTCATTTTTATAAACATAAATATTTGTTTTAGAACAAAAGTGGTATATATTTTTAATGTTAATCATATACATACATGTTTATATAATTATTTCAAATGCAATAATTTTATAATTTACATGTTATATTAATCAATTGTTTTAAACCATATGTATTTGTGATTTTTATTATATATTTGTCTTATTTTATTTGTATCTAGTTATTTAGCAAATTAATATATTCATAGAAAACATATTTTAGAATTATTTTGTATTTAATTCATAGTAAATTCTGACCCGTCTTTCAAAGAATGGTTTTCTTTTACCAATATTTTTATGTTAATTAATTTTATAAAATATATTATTGTATATACAAAAGTATAAAATATGTTAATTTTTAGACATGTATTATATAGTTTTCTATTTTTAAGTCATTTTGTCATCATATCACATTTTAAAATAAATAGTTTATATTTATGAAAATAAAATTTATAAATTTTTCATTTTTAGTATAATTTTACCATATTTAGCTCAATATAATAATTATCTTTAACATGATGATTATGACTATAAAATAAATATATATATTTTTCATTTTATAAAATTTAACTGAATATTAATATATATAATAATTTTCAAACTAATTTCGAAATTAATGAGAATATTTAAATATAATATAAAAAATGAAGATCTTGTAAAAATATTTTAAAACAGATTTGTTAAAATTTTAAACAAATATAGTTATATTTAAAACGAAAATATATAAAAAAATATTATGACTAAAGTATTTTAAAGATTCTATATATTATTAGTTTTAATAAAATACATTTAATTAAAAAATAAAGTAATGGTCCAAATTTAAAAAAAAAATCACACATGAAAAAGTTATGACTTTTATTTTAACAGATAAGATATGTGTTATCCAAAAACACATATCTGCTAATAAAAACACAATTTTCATATTTTTGGATTTGATATGCTTTAATTTACATAAATGATAATATATTTTATATTTCCTACTTAGTTCGTGTGATTATGGTATAATATTCATCTTGTTGTGTTGAGAATATGCCAAATATGATTTTCGGTAAAGAAAATATACCTATATTTTTAAGCAATAAATGGATGATATATATGTTGTGATAGCATGATTTAAATTGAATTTATACGGCACGAAATTTCTAAATATTTGGTAAGATTTTCACTGATATTAACTAAATAGTTTACCAAATATAGTTAGACATCACGAAATTCATGGAATTATTCGTTTTTACTAATGTACGCAAGAGATATATTTGGTAAACAACGAATATATCCATATATCTAATGCAATACATCCAAATATTTTTGAAAAAAATAATAGTGAGCCTATCTTCATCTTCTTCAACTGCATATTTTGATAGAGATTTATAAACACGTAACTATTATTTACATAGAGATCAGTAAACACATGTGCAAGATAGTTCTAAGAATATATATATATATATATATATATATATATATATATATATATATATATATATATGCATCTATACAGGTAGAACAATGGCCACACGACTAAGGATTTTCTGTTGATCAAAAAAAAAAAAAGGATTTTCTAAACTTGAAACAATGGTCATTTTCTAAGGATTTATATATTTGCAGCTAAGGATATCGAAGAACAGTGGTCACTCGACTAAAAAATGACTAAGACATGAAGATATAATTGATACCAGCATAAATGTTTACGTTCTTTATACATTGAATAAAATAGCATGTATTTGTTGGCAATATAAAGAACGATAAATATAATAGTACAAAGATTTCTAGTAGTTGTTGGTAATGTGAAAGTTAATGTGATTTTAATATAAAAATAAATGATAAGATAATTAAATGTGATAAATTTTATTAGATGGTCCATTTTTTGAAATATCACATATGAAATGAAGTCATGACTTCTGTTTTAATATATAAGATTGCAACACATACTTTGCAGTTATGTCTGCTGAAAAAAAAAAAGTCTAAGATTATAACTCGTGTACACACATTGTAACAGAAAATACTTTTTTACGTACACCATCAACAACTGACAATTGAAAAGGTTTAGGGTTTCGTTTGAAAAATTTGATCTTTTCATTCGATCCTTTCAAATTCATCACCGGAAATTCTTTCTAATTCTCTATATTACTTCAATTGATCTTTGCTTGGCGAAATTGTATGTGAGTTTAGTATTGATAAACACTGAAGTATATTGTATAAGCGAGTTTAAAAGGTTTATGAAAGAGAAAACATGTCAATTAGTTTCTTGCAATTATCTTTCTATGTGAAACCTTTGCCTAACCCGTGAAACCGTGCATGTGAATTTTATATTGAAAATTACTAAAATACATAGTGTGAACACATTTATGTAGAGTTTGGATACTCCTTATATGTAACACATCAGTGTAGTCATTTTCAAATTGTTGTGACGCTGCCGCATGTCCATTAATTTGAACGCATTTATTACAATATGCTTCTCCTTCATAAACCTTTCAACCTTGCTTATACAATATACTGGTGTTTTTTTAATTAGTACTAAACTCACATACAATCTTCCGAAGGAAGAATCAAATGAAGAATATAGAGAAATAGAAAAACTTTCGAAAGGATCAAGTGAATATATTGAATTTTGCGAAGGAAACCCTAAACCCCTTTCAATCGTCAGTTGTTGATGGTAAATACATAATTATATATATATATATATATATATATATATATATATATATATATATATATATATATATATTTTACTACGAATGTGTACACATTTCAGAATCTTAGATATTTTTTTTTTTAGCAGGCTGAATTGTTAAAATATTTTTTTCCATAAATAATTAATGTTAAAAACCGACTGGGCCAATATACAACACAATACATCAAAAATAAAATGCAACATACCCAATTATATATATATATATATATATATTATGAAGAATACTATTTGATTTTCTTTATACAGAAAGAAAAAATTCACTAATGTTTAGGTCTATTTTATTTTTAATTAATTTTATTTTATGAATTTTATATTTCATGTGTTATTTTGAACAAAAATATCTTTTAAACTTACAGTATCTTTATATATTTATCAACCACATTTATATACTCATACACATACAAGTGCATATTTACCACAAGTGAAAAAATTTAATTTTCTTGGAAGTTGAAATATTTTTTCTTTTAATGATTTTTTCACTATTGACTAAATTGTAATAAAATGATTTATCGTAATAATGTTTTTCTTAACCATTATCCGTTTAGAAATTATAGTATGAAATCATTGGTTCGACATCAGAACTATCTAAAGTTCATATAACACCAAATAAATAATAATAGTTTTTCGTTATCACTAGAAAAAAAAAAAACAAAAATCTATCCTAAAACCGAACCAAAGAAACTAAATAAATATTGGTTTTCAATGGTAGTTATATTTTAGGAGATTAAGAACTAAAAATCGAACATAAAAAACCGAACCGATATCAAAATTAAATAATTTAATGTATTCTTATTATAAATAACAAAATTAATAATCACATTAAACGCAAGGCGAAGATTATTATCTAGTTTAATGTACTATAACGAAAGTTTCAAACCAGAATCCATGTTATTCAGAAGTGAAAAGAAATTAAAATTTCTTCACTTCATTTCTAAAAGTAGAAATACATCAAAATATTGAAAGACCTTGAGAAAGATTACATGATTGGTGATAAGCACACCGACTTTATTTGTTACAAATACAAATACGAAAGTGCTTATGATTTACAGTATCTCAAATCAACAGAACACCCATTTATTATTATCATAGCACATATAAAAAGGACTTAGGTCCAGATACATATTGACCCATTTAGTTGACGTCTTTGAGTGAAGTAAGCTCACCTATAGTGGAATGGGCCGTTCCGAATGGCGATCACAGAAGCTCTTCAATCTCTCAAAGGCATCCTCCAAAGTTGGAGTATCCATGTCAATAGAATGCCTCGCCCAGTCACTCAGACCAAAAGCAACCCCTAAACCAATTCAACAAAACATATATGTTCTTATGTTAGATGAAAAATGTTAGAATTGATAGGTAATGCATGGGAATATTAATTAATACCCGGCAAAAGGACAAGGTTTTCTTGAGCAGCAAGCTTTTCACAGAAGTCCTCATCATCTTTAATGTCTATAAAGCTTGATAAATCCAGCTGGGTCTGCTAGACGAATTGATTCAAAAACTTAAAAGATGGTTTCAAAATAACAAAAAGGTACAAGTATTAAAAAGAAAAGGTGGTAAGAATATAAAATACCCATAGGAAGGTGCATGCTTCAGGTTTCATGTAGCATGTAAGGGAAGGTATGACATTAAGCTTAGAATAAGCCAAATCCGCTTTGTCTTTCAGAAAGCTCTGCCTCCTGTCGAAGAACTCTTTAGGAGTATCCTTCAAGATGGTAGGAAGTGCCGTCTGCATGATAAAATCGACAAATTTTCCAAATATAAATAAATTAAAATTGGTAATAAGTTGAAAAGTCTAACTATACATAGTGACAAGAAGTACTGTCCAAACTAGAAAATCATGTACCTGAATAACAATTGGTGGTTTAGAATTTATCTCAAAAAATTCTTTGGCAGCACTCAAGACCTGTTTATATATAACAAAATGAAAAACAAAACAAAAATTATTAAGGACGAACATTTTGTAACTGTTAGTATGAAACATAGTACAGTAAATAATGACACATTTAATGTATATTCTTAAAGAGTGATCCAACAAAATGGACCGGACCTCGGTGCATTTAAAGACACCATCTGGATCGTGCAGGGAAACCCAGCCAGTTCGCCATGATCCGGGGACAGTCCATCCCTTTGATATGGACCCAACTGTAATCACGGGTACTATCGGCGAAAATTTCGCCATGGGAACAAAGGGATTACTCCCAAACACGGTCCATCTAAAAACTTCGTCAGAAACCACCATTATCCCGAGTTCCCGAGCCAAACAAGCAATCTAAAATTCATTAATAAAGACATAATCAAAAGAGGAGATCATACGACTAGGTGAATACTGCTATATATAAAACACCTGCAATAGATGAGCTTCTGAGTAGGTGTTCCCATTTGGATTGTGAGGGTTGATTATAAATATTGCAATCGTGTTTTCATCCACTTGTGTTCGGACGCTTTCAAGGTTGATCTCATAGTTATTTTCGGGGATGAAATTATATTTGTGAACCTCAAATTTCTTGTTGATGGAGCGAACTACGTCACATGGGAAGCCAGGGCTGGGAAGCAGGACGTTGGCTTTTGGTTTAGCCAAGAGGTCAACCGCAAGCTCGATGGCTTGATTGCACCCAACGGTCATAAACACGTCATCTGCTGTCAGTTTCACCGGAATATCACGGTTTAGGTACTCTGCTACGGCACTGATAATAGCAAAAAATTATAAGACAGTTTTTCTTGTCACAAACCAAAAAAAAAATGTCAAAAAGGATACACACTACTTCTATTAGTTCTACGTATATTACATTTTGGCCGACGGAAGGCCTGTGCTGAGAGCATAACCGTTTCCAGCTCCACAAAGGACAGCTTTAGCGACGGCCTTTTCACTTTTCAGCCGTCGGTGATTTTATCTCGAGGAGGCAAAATGGGCTTTCCGTGGGGATCGCACAGATCAAAGAGTTTAGAGGTGTAAGTGCCTATCGAGGTTTCTTTGGCCACCTCGCTGCCGCTGAACTTCCAGTCAACGTAACTGTCTTTTGCCATATTTCTTGCGTCTAGCGACGACGTTTGAAAGTAGTGTTTTTTCTCTTGATTCGATTTGTTGTTTGTGGTGATTACTCTCATTGCTACGAGAGAGTTTATAGCGTAAAAGTTTCCACATATTTCACATGTTCTATAAACTTATGATTAACAAATTGTAATTACGAAAAATATATTATAATAAATTTTAGTTCAAAGGTATAGGCTCGTTTACAACTTATTTAAATATATCGAGAGAAAGTTCATCAGTGAGATGCATCTCCATTAGAGAATTAGATTAGACATCTATTTGAGAAACCAAATTTTTTAAAATATACTTTGAATAACCAATCTAATTTATTTACATAAATATCATGATATGATTTTTTTGTCTTCCGTAATATTTATAAACTTGTGCCATTAAGAATCTTAGTTTTATACATTCACCAAGGGTAATATTTTAAAATAATTTTCTAATTAATTAATTAATTAATTAAATTTTTTAACTAACTAGTATCTAATTTTATAAAATATTTACCTTCATATAAATAATCAACTAATTCGTAAAAATGCTACTATATAATTATGTCAATTGTTAAATATATATTGATGAAATCTTCATCCATTCTATAAATATTTATCAGAATTTTATTATTTTGTTTTATACTAGATTAGTTTAAATATATTTTACATACAGTTTCCTATTTACTATAAATACAAATAATCACAATTCTACAATAAATGATCTTCATGAAAAAAAAGTAAAACATCTCAAAATTTTATTTTCAAAAATATTTTTCTATCATTTAATTAACACAGGAAAAGCTAAAACAAACAAAAAAAATATTTCTTTTTCAAAATTTGTTAAAATAAAAATATGTTCTTTGGTTTTACGAACAGCGAGACGTCTCCTAGTGTGATATGATTTATCAACGTCAACGTCGCATATGTCCAACACATTACTTTAGTATTTTATATTTGCTTCGTATTCGGTCATAGTTATATCCCCCTGGCTCATGATAATCATAGCTTAAAACGTGGAACATCTCCTGAGCTATTATAGTGTTGTCTGAAATCTGTCTCTCAGCAACAAAGGTTGACTGGGTCTCTGAGATCCTATCTGGAAGGAACTTTTTCAATCTCTGGCATAAGACCTTAGAGATAATTTTGTAGCTAACATTGCATAAGCTAATAGGGCGTAGTTGGCTCATCTGATTCGATTTCTCCACTTTTGGGATGAGGCATATATTAGTATCGTTTAGACCAGATGGTACCGTACCCTCAAATAGGAATTGATTCACCATACGAGTTAAATCCTCCTTAACAATATCCCAAAATTTTTGGTAAAACAACGCCGTCATTCCATCTGGGCCTGGGGCTTTTTCTGGGTGCATCGCAAAAAGAGCCAATTTGACCTCCCACTCCGTGACCGGAGCTGTTAATGTCGCATTGTCTGATGGGGAAATTATGGACGATACCTCTGAGAGTGCTTCCTCAATCTCCTCCGGATTTGATGATTGAAATATATGTCTAAAGTAATTGGTAGCAATGGCTACCAATCCTTCCTCATCTTCCACAACATTTCCATCTGCATCCAGTAATTGAGTGATCCTATTCCTCGCTCTCCGTTGCTTTGTCAAGGCATGATAAAACTTGGTGTTCCTATCTCCTTCTCTCAGCCAGAAAATCCTACACTTTTGCTTCCAGAATAATTCATCCGCCTTAAGAGCGTCAGATAATTCCTTGATAGCTGCTGAAATTTCCTCAGTAGTAGCATCATCCGATGAAGATAGACGATCTACTTTTTCCTTAAGCTCTTCCACGGTTTTCTCTGAATTCAGGTTGTGGAGTCGCTTCCATTCACTCAATGCTCGTCGGCAGCTCGCAATATGATCCATAATGCTTGCATCTGGTGGGAGATCTGGTGACTTCCAACCCTCAAGAATAATTTCTCTGAGCTCCTCATTATCCAGCCATCTCTTATCGAACTTAAAATTCCTAGCTCTCCGAGGTTTCTTTCTCAGTATGTCAGCTAAAATCGGACGATGGTCCGATCCCCACAGTCTCATATACTTCACTTTGGAATGAGGAAATTTGTCATGCCAGTCCTCATTTCCCACAGCTCTATCTAGGCGGCATCGAACTGTCGTCCTCCCTGCCCTATTTCCCACCCAAGAAAGCATATTTCCGGTAAAGGGAAATTCTAGCATACCACAGTCACTTAACATTTGCCTGAAAGGCAGGAAGGAATTATCAGGGCGTTGTCTACCTCCTTCCTTCTCTTCGTGACATGTAATTTCATTAAAGTCTCCTATCATGAACCAAGGTCCATTTCTTGTTGTTGAGAAACGCGTAAGACGTTCCCAGACTAACTCTCTTCTTTCTAGTACAGGATATCCCCATAAACAAATGTCATGTAGACTTTTATTCCATCAATGATTGCCTCAATATCAATCATTCTGTTATTTGAAAATAAAACATTAACTTGAAAATCATCCATAAAAAACAAAGCTAAACCTCCGCTGAGTCCAAGTGGCTCAACGGTAAATAAACGATCAAATCCTAAGTCGGCCTGAATGTCTTGCAACAGCAGCCTCCTATTCTTCGTCTCAGAAAGAAACACTAGTCCTGGGCGATGTTTCTGACACATCTCCTTAAGGCGTCGAACTGTAAGGTCGTTTCCAATCCCTCGACAGTTCCAACTGATTGTCCTCATGGATGATGCTTGGATGGGTTTTTGGATCCCATCAAACCATCACCATTGTTTAGTCTCCCTTGAGTATTTTTAGCTATAGGCCGCAAATGCTCAGCCTTCTGTCGTGATGTCCTATGTGTCGAGGTCTTAGCCACTCTCAATCTTGGGGACCCTCGACGGAGGAAACCCGGCTTCGTTACCAGACTACTTGATGAAGTAGCCGATCGACCTGACTGTCTCTTATTTCCCGTTTTCCCCTTTGCGCCAGCTTCTGCACCTCTACTCTCCTCCGCACTCAACTCCATAAATTCTTCGCCCAAGAGATCATCCTCAGCATCATCATAAACCTCTTGATCCAGCATCGCTACATCCTGTGTTTCATCTGTTTGCATATCAGCCAGAGCGCCTATGACTTGTTCCTCCTCGTCAACTTCCTCATCATTCGCAAAGGACAAAGATCGTGATACACTCCTACTACGGATGGTTACATTATCTTTCATGGATGCTCTTCGTAAAGGCGGAGACACAATGACACTAGCCAACTTTTTTGTTAGAAGACCTGAGTCCCCCATAGTATCTCTGTCTCCACTCTGATCCTCAACATCATCTTGGCGCCCTACTAAAGACGCAGGCGGCACTTCAGACTAAACTATAGCTGCAGCTTTATCAAGAACCTCAGCTTGTCTCTCCATACGCATTTCCTTAGTCGGTGGCTTCTCACGCCACACTCTGTTTGACCTTCGCTCATATGGAGCAAAAGCCCGTCGGGATCCATGATAACGGTCATCATATTGCTTCTCACTCCGTCCCCTTATAACCCGATCGAAGTTTCTGGCGTAACCGCGTTCATCCAAGCGGTCGTGTGCAGAGTTCGTAGCTTTACTTCTTCCAGCGTACCCATTATTATGGTCTCTCGCAAATGAGCGAGATGAAAATTGCACAGCTGAGTGATCACGTTCCTTGCGTACATTGTGATGATCAATACCTTGATCCCTACTCAGCGAGGACTGAGATCGGGGCAAAGGGAGTGCTCCATACTGTTTTGTACGATCCTTATGGGATACATACCGATTATCTCCATCTAGTGATGGCTGATCTTGAGCAGGAGGTAGTTGAACTCTCGCAAAAACACCACTCCGTTCATGTTCAAACCTCGGTGCTAAAGTGTTTGTCGGACAATAACCCTTCTCATGGGTCATTAAACCACAAGTGGTGCAGTGTTTAAAGAGTAAGTCGTACTCAATAGTAATGGTTACTTCCTCATCTTCCGGGCTAAGAACCTTCCTCTTAAACTTAAGAGGTTTCCTAGAGTCAACATGAATAAGCATTCGTCCCTCTGTGAGCTCAATCATATCCACTTTTCCAAGTCTCCCTCCAATCTCTCTAAGATTAGTGTCTGTTCATAGGTGTAGGGGCATCCCAACCAATCGGACCCAGAAGAGGATAATCCAGGGATAGTCATCATGAACTATTGGTTCCCATCGCACCAAAACAAACATGCAGAAATTGTAGTGGAAAGGACCCTTCGAAAGAACAAAGTTAAGATCCTCTTCATTGGTAAAGTTCAAAAGAAATTTTCCATTTCCGAGATCGTTCGCCGTAATCTTCTCTTCCATTCCTTCATTGATGGATGGAGTGGTCCTTCATTGAGGCCACTATGCGAAAAATGGGTTTTTATGAAGTCTGGATTTCGATGATAATGAGATGCGTTACGTCAGTAAAGTATAAAGTCCTCATGAATGGACAGCCAAGAGGAAATATTGTTCCGGAAAGAGGTCTACGGCAGGGAGACCCTCTGTCCCCTTTCATTTTTATTCTGTGCACGGAAGCGCTCGTTAGCCTTCTAAATCACGCAGAGAGACAGGGAAAGATAACGAGGAAGCGATCTGTGATAATTTAGCTAGTGCCATTGCACAGTTTTGGTGGAGCTCAAATCCGCCAAAAAGGGGTATCCATTGGTCGACATGGGACAAACTATGCTTACCTAAGGAAGATGGCGGAATTGGCTTCAGGATGATCCATGAGTTTAACCTCGCGCTACTAGCAAAGCAATTATGGAGATTGATGCAGAACCCGGACTCTCTGGTCTCGTGTACTGAGAGGCAGATATTACAGACTGAGTTCTCCCTTGAGGTCAATTAAGGCTAGCAACCCATCATATGTGTGGACAAGCATAGCGGCTGGGAGAGAGTTGCTACTTTTAGGTATCCGACAAAAAGTACACTCAGGATATGAGGTTAAAGTTTGGGAAGACCCTTGGATTCCTACTAGACATGCGAGACCTGCAATTCCTGTCGCTCCGGTTCTACATCCAAATATGAGAGTGAGTGATTTGATTGATCAAACTACAAAAAGATGGGATGACCGGCGTCTACAAGATTATGTTGCGGCAGATGATATACCGCTCATTAGATGTATGGCCATTAGCTCTATGCATCGACGGGACACGTACTGCTGGAGCTATACGAGGTCTGGACAATATACAGTTAAATCTGGATACTGGGTGGCGCGGAATATTTTGTGGAAGAAAGAAGACCCTGGAGTATGTGAGCCTAGTATTACAAAGCTCCAAGCACATGCTTGGAAGGTGAGAGCCCCTCAGAAGATATGTCACCTTATGTGGCAGTTGATATCAGGGCATGTAGCTGTCACGAGTATCTTAAACTGCAGACATATGAGATGTGATGACCACTGTCCCCGCTGCGGGGAACCCGAGGAGACGATTAATCATGCAATTTTTGAGTGCCCACCTGCCCTGCAAGTTTGGGCTCTATCATCTACGCCTACCAATCCCGCTCTGTTCCCGGTACAAAGCGCGTACGCAAATATGGACTATCTCTTTTGGAGGAAGAATGCGATAATGGAACCAGAATTGGACATGGACCCTTATCCTTGGCTAATTTGGTACATTTGGAAGGCTAGGAATGATAAGCTATTCAGAGGTATTGACAGGGACCCTTTGGAGCTCGCGCGATATGCAGAAAGTGAATGTCAAGCATGGTATAAAGCAAATGAGACGGAGAGATCGGTTCCCATTGGGACCGGAGGAGGAGAAGACCAGGCCTTAAGCTTGGGCAATATTTGCATGGTAGATGTATCTTGGACCTCTACAAATGTCTTCAGTGGCTGTGGATGGGTGTTGAAGGATAACAGCGGAAATAACGAGTTATTGGGGCTGTGTAACTTTGATCGAGTGGAATCGGCTTTGCACTCAGAGTTGGAAGCACTGCGGTGGGCAATGGAGAATATGCTTCAACATTCGCCATGTCAGAGCTTCGGGACTGATTGTAAGGAGATGATCGAGATGCTCAGGAATCCTCATGCATGGCCTACCTTTTCGGCTGAACTGGAAAAACTGGAGACGCTGAAAACTTGCTTCCCTGACTTTAAGATTTTCTATGTTCCTAGAGCACAAAACGGCGTGTCTGATTCTTTAGCGAAGACAGCTAGGTCTTTTTTTCGTAAGATTATGTTCGTAGGTTGTTCTATTCCGGTTTGGATTCCCAGGCCACCTCAAGTTCTTTGAGTAATAGAGCAGCCGCTTGATGTCAAAAAAAAAAAAAAAATCATAGCTTTAGTCTTTATTTTTACTAGCTGCATAACCCCCGCGCAAGCGCGGAGTCGGGGTCGGGATCTGTATTTTTTTTTGTTGTTGGTTTAGTGGGTTATTCTAATAATACCAAATAATGATGAAATGGAAAGAATGTAGCAAGAGTGCAAAATGAAAATATTGTATATATTCCCTATATATTAATAGAGAAACATTTGAAAAATTATAACCTCAAATATGTAATAATTAAAAATCGGTCATACTGAGGTGTCAAACAATTAAAATGCTAATTAGGATGATGTGTCGGCTAGAGAATCAATTGAGAAATTGGTGAATCCATGATTTAAATGCTAGGGAATGTTACAATTACGGGATATACAATATACGGCTCATGTATGTAAACAACATATGGTTAAAAACGATAATACACTAAACTTGAGAAATTATTGTCATGTGGTGTTGTGAAAACATTACGACCGACAAATGATTTAACTCATAACAGTTTGAAAACAATACGCCATGAACAAAAATCAATACACTATGGAACTGTCGAGACATCTTAAGTTTGAAGTAATATCTTGACTTCTTAGAGCTTTCGTTTCTGATGGAAACTTTTGAGAGTTGGTAGCCTTTGTTGTAATGTTAGTAAAGTTTAACGTTTACAGAAAATTCAAAAAAGAACACGTTGGGATAAAGTTTTTTTTTATCAATTCTATAACAATACAGCATGAATTAACTACAATGGTAAACTAATAAACTATAGTTTCTGAATAAATATAGTCACTTATTATTGGTAATGTTTTTAAAAGTCAACAGAACCAGTTCTACTATAGTATTCTGATGAGAATTTTCGAGAAAAAAGACCATTGTAGTTATCTGACTAAAGTTCTGTAAATTACGGAGATTTGAAAAAAATAAAGATGGTGGCCGGTTTATAATTTTAATTAGAACCGAACACTATTGAAATAAAACATTCGGTATGTATAGAATATAAATTGTCGTAAACCAGGATTTATACATCAAATTTGATTGTGTTATTTATGTTTAAATGATATTTTCCTTATTATATCAAATAATTAATAAATAATAATAATGTTATAATCTTATCGTCTAACTTCAAATATATTTGGCTTGATACGCAATTCAGAATGATGAGAAAATGGAAAATTATATTGAATATGTAAAAACTTTTTTTCCCCAAGGCAAGATTAAAAACATATGAGAATCACTTAAGGAAAACTAAATTGATTGCTGTTACGAAAAATTAAATAAGTTTTGCAAGGCGTTAATCTAAATAAGCAAAAACTATATAAGACGATTTGTAGCACCTTCACGATAGCATCATATTTTCAACTACCAAATAAGCCAAAAATCACGTTTAAAAAAACTGAAGTATTTTCGTCTACTTTAGTTTTGTTTCTTTCGATTCCTAGAAAGGAAGCAAACCAAACAATACTCATCATTCAAAAAATCATTTTTTAAAACAACCTCAAAATTCAGATCTACAATAATTATTCTAAAGAAACTTATATATACAAGTCAGTGCCATTCATAAAACTAACCAAGTTGTTCAACCATAACNAAAAACTGAAGTATTTTCGTCTACTTTAGTTTTGTTTCTTTCGATTCCTAGAAAGGAAGCAAACCAAACAATACTCATCATTCAAAAAATCATTTTTTAAAACAACCTCAAAATTCAGATCTACAATAATTATTCTAAAGAAACTTATATATACAAGTCAGTGCCATTCATAAAACTAACCAAGTTGTTCAACCATAACCCGTTTACGCCTAAAGGATTCTACAAATTTTATGTCAGAGGAATGATTCATATATGACTCGATATTCTAAAATATTTTTTGTGAATCCATGTGTTGATGACGTTTTGATTCTTGATGATGAAGAATTGATTCTTATATTTTGGTCAATAGTCTCATATACCTAAAACAAATGATATATATTTGAAAATTAATCAGTACAAGTTCCGAGAATATGGGATTGAAACTGAAGCCATGAAAGCTAAGCGTATTTTTTTCTAAATGCAGTCTCATAAGAAATCTATAGCCACTTTAAGAAAACTAACTCATCATATTTGTGTTCGAATCTTTGTAACGTTTTTTTATTATAACTTTGGTGCATAAGTTGAACTTTGAAGTCTATGTTGTTGAGAATGTGCAAGAGACTACAACATTTATTTAATGAGATCAAGGTTAAGCATGTCCTTAACAATGAGAAACAAACCTAGAATATCACAAGAAAGATTGAAAGCTTATGATCCTTTTCTCAATCTTTAACAGTAGCATCCACCCACCTTGAACTGCTTCCAACAAGACCAAGCTAATGTTCCACCATCAAAAGCTGGTAATGGCAACAGGTTGAACGAAAAGGTGATGTAATTTTTTTTTTTTTTGACATTCTCATCCCGCACAAGGTGCGGGTCTTCACCCAGTAATGTGTTAAATGTTATTTATATGCGAAATAAGGTTTATAGGAATAACTAAATTATAATATAGTTTTTAGTGTATAAAAATAGATGTCTATATTGTTTTTTTTTATGTTGGAAATAGTTTTTATATCGGATGTCAAAACTTGATATAAATATTTAATTATAGTATTTATATTTGTACTAAACGATTTATCAATTTGAAAATAACTTTAATTTAAGCTAATATTTGTTGTTTGGGTTTCAATAGATAGGTTTGGATATGTTTTTTGTAAGTTTGGATTTTGTTCATGAATAATGTGGTATTTTTCTTTACGGCGTCATCGACTGTGGAAATCCATCCGCCGGAGTCTGATAAAAATGAAATTATAGTAACTATTAAAAATTGAAGAGAAATTACATAGTTATTTTATAAATAACAAAACTCTTTTTTTATTTTATTTCACATACATAATTTTTTGAAAATATATATTAGGAAATATGTTCTAACAGTAAAAATATATATTAGGACATGATAGTGCCGCGTGAGACTCGGTTTTTTTTTTTTTTTTTTTTTTGGCTATTCGTTTTTTGATCCATTTTTAATTATTTTTGGGTTTGAATTCGTCAAAATTTAGGATTTTTCCACTATTTTGGGACTTAAACAATAAGTCCAGAGGAAAAAAACATAAAAACATTAAAACTAAAAAGCCCATATGATAATAATCCAAATGAAAAAACTAAAATACATAACAGCTGCGTAGTTCGAACCCACACCCTTGCAGACTTAATTAGATGTCTTATACCACTTTGATAAAGTGTATTCATTGTTCAGAGTCATTTTAAAAAAACTATAAGCTTTTAAAATTTAAACACGCGGGACCCACAACAACTTTAGGAGTCTTAGAACTGAACTATTATAATATAGATTTCTTTCAACCTTGTATAAAATTAGTACTAAATGCTTAAAAGCGTGACTTTAACATTTGTTAAACATATATATAATGAAATGACAAAAGATCGTGCGGTGTTGTATTTAAGGAGAAAATGTCTTNAAGCTTTTAAAATTTAAACACGCGGGACCCACAACAACTTTAGGAGTCTTAGAACTGAACTATTATAATATAGATTTCTTTCAACCTTGTATAAAATTAGTACTAAATGCTTAAAAGCGTGACTTTAACATTTGTTAAACATATATATAATGAAATGACAAAAGATCGTGCGGTGTTGTATTTAAGGAGAAAATGTCTTCTTTTTTTTTTGTTACACAAATGTCATTCAGAATTTCAATGTAACTTATAGTTTAAAATTAATTACACATACATTAATTTTAAAATAACTATATTAGGAGGTCGTTCAAAAAAAGCATTTAAGGAGAAAAAATATTTTTCATTCAACAGTTGTACTTCCTCCGTTTCACAGAAAGTATCACTTTAACATTTTCACATATATTAAACAAATAACTGAAATATATTTAAGTTTTTGTTAATTACAAATATTTAACCAATAAAATTTTAAATAAATAAAATTATTTATAAAATTAATGTAATTTTAATTAATTTTAAACTATAAGTTACATTAAAATTCTGAATGAAATTTTTTGTGTAACGAAGAAAATAATAAATGACACTTATTTAAAAAATTAAAGAAGTATTAATCAATAAAAACAAAACTATGTTTTCTAATAATTTAGATGGAAGAAAGAATGAACACGATTTGAAATCCTTCCAATGTGAACATTCGATCATATCACGTGGCCGAATGCAGCATCATTTTTTTGTCTTCCGTAAGGGAACCAAAATTTACCTACTGTCAAGATTACATAAATATCATAAGTTTTATTTTTGAATTGCAACACATTACAGCTGAAGGTCGGAGTAAAAACGTAGCCGAAACTAATCTCCGGGCGTCTACGACGTCTCGCAGTGCCGAAAGTTGGTTTTTATTTTATACGCCGCGTTTCGTGTTCGGAACGTTTGCGGGCTCGAAGATGTTGCGCGGTGTTGCTGGGGTTTTGTCTTAACCCTGCTTTGTACGAACACCTTGGTTCGTTTGCGTATATTCGCAATTAAAACTAACATTCCTGTTTGGATGTTAGGTAGTTTTATGATTTGTGCTAGAGCAATTAGGACCGAGAGGTCGCGTAAGTTGTTTCCCCGAAACGAAGGATTTTTCGTTACGGTGCTTTGTGAAGTGTTGACCTTCCGA